GGAGCCCCAGCTCACATGCCTACGCGATGCCAAAACAACCAGTCAAATCCATCAAAAAGTCACTCAATTGAGTGGGAAAAAATGCAGACAGCTCTGTTGTACATTATCAACAAAATAAGCCACAGGCTGATCACTCAAGTTTTTGAGATCATGTAGTGGGTTGTTCTAGGCACTGTTTTGAGTTTTTCTAGGGCTTTCACCTCCCATGAACCAAAAAAAAAGTGACAATGGAAAAATGAAGGTCCCAAATTGCTTCCCAGAAGTAAGCATGGCCTCAAGATGCCAGACTTATGGCAGAAGGCAAAGACAGAAAATCTTGCAGGGGCCGGTGTCTCCCTCTGGACCCCTTGCTCACAGCTGGTCACAGGCCAGTGAATGTTGTCCTCTTCCCAGGAAGCCCATTTTCCAGTAAGAAGCAGCTGTGGCAGGTCACTCCACAAGACAGAGGGAAAAGGAAGGCTAGCCAGCAAAGGCTGCAGGAACCTGCCCTGGTACACAGTGCTGGTTTCCAGAAGATAAAAACCTGGACATGAGGGGTTGGCATCCGGGGAGAGAGAAGATTCTGAGCTAAGAGGGAGTTGTTAAAACATGAATGGTCACTTTGGAGTGGCAGGGGAGAAACCCAAGCCAGTCAATCTTGTTCCACATGAGCAGTTCCACTAAGCATTTTGCCGGAGAAAAAAGATGGGATCTAATTTTTAAGAAGAGGTTGGCTATCATCCACAAGCTTTATTTATGTAGGCTCCCCTGACACACTATTCTCATCAGTAGGTTTCTGGCTCTAAAATGATATATCCGGATGAAAATGGAAATATATATGAGTGAAAAACTATGTGGCATCTTGAATTTAATTCTGTCACCTAATAGGTCCCTCCCCAGCATCTATGCATTCCTAGTCCCTTGCTAGAAGGGAGATGCAGAGGGGGAAAGAGAAGAGGGTGTCAAGAATAATAAGACCAACAAGCACCAGAGGGCCAAATGAGGCCAGGCCATGGGGCATCGTTGAATGAAGGCTGGAGCTGTCCCCACGGACAAGATAGGTCTTGAGAGAATATTTGGAAGAGATTTTGGTAAGCATCAAAGCATCTCTATTTGAACATGTATTTTGCCAATGCTTATGAGTACAGTGTCTGTAACATAGTACATGTCATCAGCATTCCTCTTGTACCGCATCAGAATCAACCATTTCTTAAATAAGTCACACATGTGTAAATACCGAATAGTTTCCCTGGTGTAAATAATCTGCAACAATGCATAAGATTCTAATAAGATTACTGACATTTAGAAATGGGAAGAAAGGAGCTAAAGTTGTAGGGAAGGTGGGATGGGTAGGAGAAGAGTAAAAAGGGAAAAGAAAAAAATGTGAGAGAATGAAAAGATGAAAATAAAGTGTTTGTAGATGGGGGAGGGGAGGAGGGGGTGAAGGGAGGGCAGAGGTAAGGGGAAAAAATGAGAATCAAGACTTGCCATGTAGAGGTACATGATCCCAACAATGAATGTAACTGTACTGTATCCCTAAAATGTACCAATAAACTCAATTAAAGCTGAAAAAAAAAAAAGAATCAACCATTTCCATAACTTCCAACTGCTATACCTGCAGCCCTCTCCCTAAGGCTCCCATTAGGGTGGCAAACTGCAGTGAGCTGTTTGTATCAATGAAACGTCTAAGAAGTTCACCATCGGGTTGAAGGAAGTACAAGGGTATGGGGGAAAATGGTTCTGCCATGTAAAGGTACAAGATCCCAATGATAAATGTAACTGTACTGTATACCTAAAAAGTACCAATAAACTCAATTTAAAAAAAAGTTCATCAGCAGTGCAGGCTGTTGGGCTCTCCCTGCAGGAGTAGGGGGCAGGATAGAAGTGACAGGGAATTAGCTCTCATTCCCAGCAGCCCACACCAGTGACTGATGGGAATGGGTGTGTAGATACCCCACCTCCATCACCCCACCAGTAGAAACCCCGAGGTATATGTTCTGCGCTGGGTCCCAAGAGCTCTTTAATGGGATTACCTTGTAGTTTCCCATAGTAGTAACTGGCTTGAAAACATAGTTTTATTTGTTTCCTTCCCTTCCTATTTCACATCCCACCTCTAAGCAGTGTTTCCTGGGATCACAACCTAAATAAATTGCTAGTACTTGAACCCTTGTCTCAAGGTCCACTTCTTTTTCTAGGATATTGTTTAGAATTGTTTGGAGTACTGGTTTGGTATTTATGAAGTTTCTCAATTGTTCTTTGCCATGGAAGTATCTTACTTCCCCATCCATTTTGAAAGAGAGTTTTTCAGGATACATCAGTCTAGGTTGGAGGTTGTTTTCTTTTAGAACTTGAAATACCTCACTCCAGGCTCCCCTTGACCTGAGGGTTTGTGTTGAAAAGTCTGCTGTGAATCTGATGGGCTTTCCTTTGCATGTGGTTTGTTTCTTTTCTCTTACTGCTTGTAGTATTTTGTTCTTCTGTTGGGTTTCTGGGATCTTGATTATTATATGTCTAGGTGTAGATGTTTTTTTATCATGGCTAGTTGGAGTCCTATATGCCCCACTTATCTGTATGTCAAATTCTTCCCCTCTGTTTGGGAAGTTTTCTGTCATTAATTCTGTGAACAGATTTTTTAAGTCATTTGTATTTTTTCCTGCTACTTCATGGATTCCTATCAGTCTTACATTATTCTTCTTTGCATCATCTGGGAGTTATTGGATCAATTTCTCATGATCCCTTACTGATTTTTAAGAGAGATCTCTTTTCATGGTCACTGACTGCAATCTCATCTTCTATATCTGAGATTATATCTTCTCAACCTTTTATTCTGCTGCAAACACTTTCAACAGAGTTTTTAATCTCCTGGATATCTGTTGGAATCTGTTTTATGGATTCCATTTCTTTCCTATGTTGGCATTCATTGTTTCCATTTCTTTCTTATGCTGGGCCTTCATGGCTTCTATCATGGTCCTGAACTCATCTATTTTTTTGTCAGTTTCTCTTCTAGAGTCTTGAATCATGACTTTCATTTTGCTCACCATCTCTATGGTTATCTGGGAAATTATTTCTGTTTTCAATTTTCGTAGCACCTGATTGATCTGTTTTGTTGCCTCCTGTGCTATGAGTTCAAGGTGTCCTATGGTTCACTATCAGACTTTTTATCCTCATTTGCCCTACTGTTTGCCACTGGTGATCTGGAAGTCTGTTTTTGTGTCTTGCTTAAGTGTTATCTCATTTTTATTTTTGTTATTGGGTTATCCCTGGTTTAATTTCTGGGTTATTACTTAAATCTTCCTGATATACTTAGGCTTTAGCTTTTGAGTCTCTAATGACTTATAGACATTCTCATTTTCTTAATATCAGAGAAGACAACTCTAAATCACTCACAATCCTTTAGCCCAATTGATACAATCAGCAACACAATAGGATCAAGCACAACTTACAAATTGAGCATTCATGGTAGTCATTAATCTATCACCTTTAAAACATGTGAATTAAATTAAAATCAAGAAGCAGCCCAAATTAAGTTTGCAGTGAATAAACTCTTTAATATAGCATCTTTACCATTTAGGATGGGAGCCTAGACAGAGTTAGGATGAGAGGAATAGATAAGAAAAAGGATTGGAGAAGGTGTTGAGCGAAGCCAGAGGACATAGAATGAACATATAACCTTTAGGAAACTGTTAAAATTCAAAAGGGAAAGACAGAGTGCAAGAATAAGGACAAGAATATTACCACTCAACAGTAATGGGGAGTCACTTTCCTTTGAAACTATTGACCCTTGAGTGAGGTAAAATGACAGAAGAAAAGAACATAAAGAAAAAAAATGATAAAGGAAGAAATCTGAGGGCAGGAGCAGGAACAGAAAGGGAGATGAGGGATAATATGGTGGAACAAGAGACTGAGTTTGAGAAAGAGGACAGGAAAAAGAAAGAATTTGAAGAGTGTAATGAGGAAAAGAAAGATAAAAATGAATTTGAAGAGCCTCTTTCAGACTATATCTCTGCTGTCATAATATACAACGTGAACAGCCATGTGCAGAACTAAGTCCTTTGATCTCATTTAGCCAATGGCAGACCCCTGAGATTCAGACTGATTTTGGGCTGCAAGGCCCAAATTGAGTTCCCTGACCTCCTGCAGGGTTGAACTCCACAGTTCTACTACCAGTTCCCTTTGCCCTTTCTTTAAAGATGTTCAAAGTTGGGAGCTCAGAAAAATACCCTCTATGACCACCTATGCCTCTGCAGAGTGTATCCAAGGACTGGCACAATGAGGAGGTCTGACAGCGGGGGTGGGCGGTTCAGGGGCACCCACTTGGCTACCTTCCTTGCTGGAGCTGGTGGCAGCTCAAGCAGGGGAGGGCGCAGCTACCCAGTCCCACTGGCTGGGCCCAAGCAGGCCAGAGGGAGAAGAGATCTCAGCGCAGCATCCCAGGTCTCACCTTCTTTGCTGGAGCAATGGCAGCACAGGTAGTTGAGGTCCACTTCTTGAGAAACTCAAAATGAGATAATACATACTGGTATATTTTTATTATTCTCTTGACTTTAATTTCCCTTTTTTAGCCTATTTCCTCCTCCAAGAAGTTGAGGAAGTAGAAAATATTCTCATTTTTCAGATGATGCAGTTGAGACACTAAAAGTTAAGATAATCAGATGAAGATCATCTAAATAGTAAATAACCACCTTGGGTTGCTGCCTCTTGTATCTCTCCACCACACTCCACTGCCTGTGGTTCTTTCCATCTTTCTAAATAAGCCCTGCATGCTAATTTATCCCTAGAGTCCATACTTCAGTATTCTTAAAGGAGGGGTAGCTGAGTGTGGTGGCCCAGGCCTGTAGTCACAGCACTCAGGAGGCTGACGCAGAAGAATCACCAAAAGTTCAAGGCCAGCCTGGGCTACATAGTGAGCTCAAGGCCAGCCTGAACTATATAGAGAGACCTTGTCTCAAAAAAAAAATGTGTGTAGAATGATACTTTCCAAGATTTTGTATATCAAGATATAGATAATATATTCCTCTTACCTTTACAGATGAACAACTTAGTGGACCCAGGACTCTGGACCTCTGTGATTGAATAATTTTCAAAGTAGCAGAACATGAAGCACTTTCCTGTGGAGATTAATAGAGGAGTAACATTTGTTATAGGGAAATACAGGTAAGCTAAGATAAATAGTTTATCTTTTACTAAATTCATGAGCTTTGTAAATTCTCAAAGAAAGCACAGTGTCTACAGCACATCCCAAGAAAGTTTGATTAAGGTATCTTTCTTGTAAAGAATATCCATCAGTCTGTTTTAGTCACTTTCTCCTCACTGAAACACAAATATCCAGCAGCCACAACTTAAAGAAAGAGAAGTTTATTTTGGCTCACATTTTTAGTCCATAGTTGGCTCCAACACTGGAAGGCATTGTGAAAATCACTGGGTGGAGGAAAGCTATCCTGTTCTGGCACCCAGGAAGTAGAGCATGACGAGCAGAGCCAGGGAAGGAGATCCACTTTTCCAGGTCACACCCCCTGTGATGTGACTCTTCCAATCAGACCCTGCCTCCTAGCAGCACCCATAAACTCCCATAAGTCCAATCACCTCCCAAAAGCCCTACCTATGCTGAGGGGACATCTAGATCTAAACACCAATAGTCTCCTTCAACTATGTTGAGTATAACACTTAAGGAATGATGGTGCAGCATTTTTCCCCACTTTATCAGGAAAAGATGTAAGCCCAGACCAAATTTCTTCTCTTGATACACATGAACTATGAACCCTTCTCCAGCATGCAATGAATTACCTTGCCATTCATTATGATTTTTACTAAAACAAAGCTCAGCTCTTTCAATCATTTCTCATCTCAGGAAAGCATTATTTTATGCCTTTGATCATTGCTTCCATCCCACTATTGTGATGGGCTCCATGCTTCTCTTCAAGAGGAGTTGTTACCTTCTCTGTCACCAGCTGCAGCTCTTTGACCCATTCCATGGGCACCCTAGTAGATCTTCTTAAGCTTGCTCCATCACTAACTTTATTTTCTACAACTGCACTTAAGTTTTTTACTATACTCAACTCTTGCTTTAACTCTGCTACTCAGTTCTTGTTCTATTCAAATACATAGGTGATACATGCACAAGATGCAAAATTATTAAAAAAGCAAACAGTTTTCCTTAAATGTACCAATAAACTTAATGGGGAAAAAAGGCAAACAGTGGGAAAATAATAAAAATAAGTAATAAAGTAAGTCTCCCTTCCAATCCTGCCCCTGACTATTTCCACATAGGTATTCCTTCTAGAGATAAAATAGATGTGAGTGTATACATATGTGTGAACACACACTACATATATATATTGTATATATCATATATATCATAAATCATAGAGATATATATGTTGTTGGAGATATAATATTTCTAGCAAATAAGTACATTTCTCAACCTCCTCCAATTTCATGATGTTGGATATGATAGTTGGGTATGCAAATAACTGATAAAGGCATTTATTATTTTTTGTGACAAAATGGCGGCTTCAGGGCTGGTTGATTTAGTAGTTCAATGCAAGCAACAACAACTCAAGTTCCTTCCATCTTTTTGTCCTGCCAGCCCCACCATGTCCACTGATCAGTATGGGTCACCTCATGGTCCCAAGATGGTTGTAGAATTTAAAGCATTACACTAGAAACAGCTATTTTAGAAGCAAAAAGGTGATTATCTTTTCTTTTTGTCTTTTTTGAAGAATATGAAGATAAACCTTCCTTAAGCCCCAGCAGACATACTTACTTTTCCTTGGAGAGGATTGCATCTCTTGCTATGTATAAACCTAAGATTGGATAGAAATACAAGATTTCCATAATGGCTTTAAATAATCAGTATCCATTCCCTTTCCTAGAGAAAGGACAAGCACAAGGCTTGAAGATAGATGCCACAACCATCCCAAGGCTCTTTTAGTTATGAATGGGGCAAGGATAAAGGAGGCATTATACAGGAAGTCAACCATGTGTCTGCCCCACACATCCATGTTCATATCAGTTACTCCTAGCCTTCCACCAGTGCCCAAATCCTTAGCTCAGTACTTTTACTATACCTCCCTTCTGGTGACATAAACCACTGCCTCCACGAACATTTCTACTGTACACTCCTACTCCTGTACTCCTCTCAGAACATTCCACTTACCTCTTGCCTCTAAATTTAGCTGTCCCCTTGGACATTCCTTCACTGAGCCCTCTTACTGCTTGCCTGTTTGTCCCCCCGCCTCTCAGAATCCTAGGTTTAGGTAGTCTTCCTCCCTTTCTAGCCCTGATCTCCCTACTGGCTTGTTGAAATGCCAGCTCCTTTGTGTCGTGTGATTTTGCCAGCTTCTCCTGATCCTCCCTGCTATCATTTATTAATCTCCTGGTCACTTCCATTCATTTGTTAACAACTATAGCACCTAATGACAGTCTTTCCCTCATCCCCAGTTCTTATGATTTCAACATCCATAAATAGAGCCGTCTTGAAGCCCTAGTCTTGATGATAATACCTTTTTCTCTCCTCTTTCCTTTAGCCAACCATCCACCAAGGTCACATTATGGACTTTAACATCTTACAAATAATCTCTGATACCTATCTATTTTTAAAAAGCTCTCTCACTTGACAATATTCAGGAAAATCCACATGTTCCCTTGCTCTTTGATGCAACAAGCTTGTTTAGGATTCCATCCCAATACTGTGCTAGCAAAAAGTATAAGAAGAGGCATGAACAAAGTAAGTCATGGCAGTATTACTTGTACCAAGGAAATACTGGAAACAAGTCAAATACTCAACAATTATTATTAAACTACTTGTTATTCATCTACACATGGAGTACTATGCTATTGTAAAAAACAAGGATGTTCTCTTTATTTTAAAATAACTCCAAGATATTTTTAGTAAAGTGCATGAAAATGTATATAGTAAACTATGCATAGCAAAAGAAAAGCCAAAAAATGTAATTTTTAAAATAGTTAACAGCAAGAAATAATAAGAATCTAATGTTGAAATCCTATAAATGTTCCACATATGGGGGAATCCTTAGATTCTCTCTGTAATTTTAAAAATTTTAACTCAAAAAGAACATGAGCAGTTTCTAAAAATGAACTGAAATATATGGTCTTGCTGTGTATAGTGAATAACCACTCTTATGGTTTATCTAAAATGTCCCCCAAAGTCTCACGTGTTTGGAAGGTGACTGGATCATTAGACAGCTATTCTCATCAGTAGATTCATCCATTGGCAAGCTTAATAGCTGAATGTGCTGTTAAGAGGTGGGTACTGTTAGATGTGAGCTCCTGGAGTGTGACCTAGAAGGGTATATTTTTGTATGTAGCTACTCCCCTTCTCTCTCTCTGTTCCTGGATGTCATGGTTGAACACCTTCTCCTCTGCCTGCCCTGTGCCATCCTATTTCTGCCTTGGAGCCAGCCAGCCATGGATGGAAAGTGTGAACCAAACTAAACCTCTCCTTCTCTAAGTTGTGGGTGTTGGGTATTTTGTCCCAGTAATGGGAAAGTGACAATCACATAGAGGCTAGTTAATTAGAATGACTTAGAAACTGAATCTTTACCATGCATCTGTGAGTCATATCCTAAGGACAAAATGAATCACAAAGAAATCTCAAGTTGTACATAGTAGTTTTATTGTTGACAGCCAAGTTAGTATGCTGTTTCCTATTGCATCTGTAACAAATTACCACAAACAACACAAATTTATAATCGTACAGTTCTGGAGGTCAGAAGTTCAAAATGAATCTTACCACATTAAAATCAAGGTGGTGCCAAGGCTGGGTCCAATTTTGAAGGTTCTAAGAGAGACACTTTTTACAGGCTCTAAATGCTACCCATAATCATTGGCAAGTTAGTAATCAATAGCAATCTTTCATCTTTGAATCCAGTCTAGTCTTTCTAGTGCTACCTTATCTCTGGTTCTGACTCCTGCTTTTGTCTCTACTTAAGGAAACCTATGATTGTATTGGAGCCACTTGGATAATTTTTCTCTAAAAGTCGGTTAATGAGCAATCCTTTTTCTATCTGCAATCTTAAATTTCCCTTGATATGTAGCATGACATATCCGTAGTTTCTGGACCTTAGACATGGACATATTTGGGGACCAATTATTCTGAAACACATTCAAATACATTTTAGAATAAAGCAAATAACAAACTATGTTGTTTATAAAGAATAAAACTGATTCTTTCAGCTAAAATATAAAATCAAATAAATTTAAATAAAACTGTAATCTTTAACTTAAATTGGAAATTTCACATTAAACTTATGATTAATTTTCTCTTTCCAATATTACATATGTATTTTCAAATTCTGTCAACTGGAAAGGCGGTAACATAACGGGTCCACAAATGTTTGAAAATGCTTTGACACTCCTTTTCTCAAGACACTGAGTCTAAGTATCCTTCCTTTTTGAAGCTGGATCGAGAAATTCCCTGCCTTTCATCTATGGTGGAATATAACACAGTACAAGTAGTGCTTTTTTTACTTCCAAGGATAAAAAAGAAAATTCCATATAGTTTCTGTTAGTTTCTCTTGGGACATGCCCTGGAAGCCTTCAGTTGCAATATAAGCCCAGGTGTGCTAAGGTTGCCAGGAGTAAAAAACACAGGTTGAGGAAGACAGGGATGCCCAAGGATCCTTAGGCATTCCAACCCTTGGAGGTCTGAGTCTTTCTTGTCCAGACATTGAACATGTAAGTGAGAAAACATGAGAAGATCTCACACATCATCACTAACTCTAGTCATGTGAGTGATCCCTCAAGTGAAAACTGTCAGAGTCCAGATCAGTTACCAGAATTGTTATGAGACATATGATAATAAATTATTATTATTTTAAGTTTCACACTTGGAGTGCTTTATTATCTAGTGATAGATAATTAACCAAAGTAATTAACGGTTGCATTGTGATCTGTAAAGTTAAATCTAACCAGGACCCCTTGGAGAAACAGCCAAATTCAGACCTAAGACCAGAGGTATACACAATGATCTGGGGATATCTTGGGCTTTCCCCATAGTAAAAAGTTGGAACCAGAGCCAACTTAAAGAATCCTCACTGCTGGCCAAAGACAGGACAATGACTAGTGTTTTGACACACATAAAAAATTTTAAAGAATTCATGAATAATTAAAAATTTTTTTTGAGAACTAATGGAATTAGGACACTGTGTTAGTTGTGACAAAATACTTAAGGGGGCTTCCAGGACGCTGGTGGAGTGCTGAGCAGCAGCAAATCAGCTTCTCCAAGATTTGGAGTCCAGACACTGGAATACAGCAATGTAGGGAAGGGAAGAAGGATGGAAGTAGGTCCCTGGATCCCAGCAAGGATCTGAAGCAAGAACTGGAGCCCACAGGGAGAGCAAAGAGAGAGTCCTCAATGCAGAAGAGGGAGGTGGCAAATGGCATTTTTCCCTGGGGCCCAGATCATGTAATGAGAAAGGTAGCTTGAATCTTCAGAGGCATAGTGGCTACAGGTGACTCTAGAGGCCTCAGTGGAGAAACACACCAGTGGAATGGAGCAGTGGATGTTGTGAGTCACAATTCAAACATCCCCAGAAGCAGAATGTTGGCCAGTTGCCATTTTTGAAAGGGGCCAACTGGACCCAGGACTCAGAGCAGCAGTGGCTTGGCTACATCTCAGGCCTCCCAGTGTCAAGGCAAGGCACAGCGATAGGAGACACTTAGGATCAGTGAGCCAAGTTCAAGCCAGCAAGAGGCATCCAGAGTGTCATGGGCTGAACAACTCAGATCCCAGCCTCACAGCCAGAAACTAAGATCAGCCTGAAGTTTAGCAGAGTTGAAAGCCCCAGCTTACTGAGATGATCCACCACCCCACCATAATTCTACTGCAGGCTTGCTGGGATCAATCAACATGGATCTAGACTCTGTCTGTACCCTTTGTCTACTAGTAACAGCAGAGACATGCCCTGAAATGCTTTCTTTTTTCATTTCTTTGTTTGTTCTTGTTTTTATGTGAGCATGAACATTGTTTCTAGGGGGGTTTTTGTTGTTGTTTGTCGCTAGCTGGTGATGCAGAGCAATGTCCAGCAGTGTCTCAAACCTGAAAGATCAGCGGGGTGGAGATGGAGCAGAGAGAAAGGAAGGACGCCAAGACAAGAGTCTGATCAAGACGACATTTATTGCAGGCAAGCATCAGCCTTTTAAAGGAAAAAAAAACACAAACTATTATGGGCTAGGATTACCATAGTAACCTCAACACCTGCTCCATGGAAATGAGAGTTCATACAGGAAAGAGAAAACAGGCTTAACAAAAACAACCACCATGGGTAGTAGTAACCCAGACAACCACACGTCTGAGGGTCAGAGACAAGAAGCTGCAACTCTCAGGAATTCCTCAAAGGAAATACACCACCTTCTAAGGTGGAGGAACTTAACAAAATGGAGTTACTAAAGTTAACAACACTTGCAACTAATAATCGTGATTCCCACAGTTGTTTCATTCTGTTCTTGTTTCTTCATTCTCTTTCTCTTCTGTCTTCTTCACCAGTTTCCCAAAGCTTGTATAATCTCCTTTTGTCCTTCAGCCTTGCTTCTAATCTCTTTCTCTTCTTCTATTGCTGTTTTTTCCTCTTACCCCTTTTAAATTTTCTCCCCTGAGGGTAAAATCACTCTACTGAGAGGATATTTACCATGTATAATTTCCGGGTTTGTTTTAGATTTTGTGATATAACTACAAATCTTGTTCATATGGTTGAAGGTGGCAAATTAAGAGCTAACACAATTTGTCATTTTCTGGGCTGTGTGTAATGTTATTGTTATTAGTGATTGTACTACTTTATCCAAAGTAACATAGGTATTCTAATTAGTTGTTCTTCCTTCTATGCCAAGACTGCCTGAGATTCATAAACAATACTATAGGCCAGTACCAAAGAACCAGGGGCTATGCCAAATAGGCAGAAACTTCTCATCCCAATAAATTGAAGAGGTAGGATCTTGCAACAGACTCAAAATCCAGAAATCAACTACACCTGAAGACATCTCTGAAAAATAGTCATTTCCTAAGGAGTTCTCAATACTAGCAATAAAGTTACCTATAATATGCAATTTGCAAGCATCAATGCAGAAACTAAACTAAAAAAAAAAATGAGAAGACACAGAAGCAACATATAACCTCAGACTTTCAGCTTGCCCAAGGCAAACCCTGGGAGCAATGAGGTGGAACAATTCAAATGCAACCCACCTGAACTCTCTGAAATGGTAACAGCTGAAGTAAAAAAGCAAATAAATGAGGTGTTGGAAAATTTAAATTAGATATAATTTCTCAGATAACTAAAGAAATGATGACCATAATGAAGGACATAGTGAATTTAGAATATATACAGTTTTAAAAAATAAGTGAGCATAGGAAAATGATAGAAAACATGAAGACCTAACATAGGAAAGAAGTGGAATCCATGAAACAGATTCAAACAGATATCCAGGAGATTAAAAACTCTATCAAAAGTATACACAGCATAGTCAACCAATGTGAGGACAGGATATCAGATCTAAAAGACAGGTTTGAAGTTAGATAACATTAAAAGAAAAAAATCTTAAATAACAAGTGAACAGGAAAAATTAATCCAACAGCTTCTAGATGATGCAAAGAAGAATAGCATAAGATTGGAGTCAATGAAAAAGCAAGAGATACTACAAACAGCATAAAAAAATTGTACACAGAAGTAATGGCAGAAAACTGTCCAAGAATGGAAAAAGAATTTGACATACCGAGAAGTGAGGCATATAGAACTCAAATTAGCCATGATCAAAAAGAAATGTACCCCAAAGCATATAATAATCAAGATTCTGGAAATTCAACACAGGAACAGAATATTAAAATCTATCAGATAAAACAAACACATCACCTATAAAGGAAAGATCATCAGAATCACAGCAGGCTTCTTAATACAAACCCTCAAATCAAAGAGAGATTTGAGTAAAGCATTTCAACACCTAAGAGAAAACAACCTCGGGGCCAGGGATTTAGCTCAGTGGTACTGCCACCTGCCTTGCAAGCACAAGGACCCAATTTCAATCCCTGGTATAAAAAATTAATTAATTAATTTTTAAAAAGGAAAACAACCTCCAACCCAGTTTGATGTACTCCACAAAGCTATATTTTAAATTTGATGGAAAAATAAGATACTTCCATAACAAAGAACACCTGAAGAAATTCATGACCATCAAACCAGCACTCCAAGATATTCTAAAGGATATTCTAGAAAGAGATAATAATGACTGCAATTCCATGAACCTGAATAGAATGAACTCACCAGGTAAGCAATTAAACACAGGAGAAAGAAAGGGAATCAACAACAGGAAAATTACATGACAAGGATAAGTCAATATATATCATTTCTAAATATCAATATAAATGATTTCAATTCACCAATCAAAAGAAACATATTGACAGAATGAATCAAGAAACAAGATCCAACAGTATTCCCCATATAAGAAAAACATTTAACTCAAAAATGCATAGACTAAAATACAATACATGGAAAACAATACTACATGTGACAGGAACCCAGGAAAAAGTAGAGGTAGTATTCTATTTGCAGACAAAGTAGATTTTAAGTTAACACTGATTAAGAGAGACAAAGGTCACTACTTCCTTGTTAAGGGAACAAATCAAGAGGAAGAGATAACAATCATAAATATATATGTTCCAAATACAGCACACCCAACTATATAAAACAAATATTAATTATATGAAAATCAAATAAGCGCCAATATACAATTGTAATGGGGGAGTCAATATCCCATGTCACAAATAAACAGATCAACTGGACAAAAATCAACAAAGAAATTTCAGAATTGAACCAAACCGTGGAACAAATGGACTTAGACAGTTTCTACAATTAAATGAAAATACCAGTACAACATGCTGGACCTTATGGGATGTAATGAAAGCAATCCTATGAAGAAAACTTATAGTGATAAATTCTCATATCAGAAAAACAGAGCAAGCACAAATAAACAACCTAATGTTGAACCTCAAGTTTCTAGAAAATGAAGAGCAAGTCAAACTCAATTGAAGATTGTATGAGGGAGGAAATTATAAAGATCAGAGCAGAAATTAATGAAATTGAGACTAAAAAAACAAAGAATTGATGAATCTAAGAGTTGGTTCTTTGAAAAATTAAATAAAACTGACAAATCCTTAGCCAACCTTAGCAAAAAAAGGAAAGAAGAGACCCAAATCTAAGCAATTAGGAATGAAAAGGGTGAAATCACAACAGATCTTGTAGAAATCCATGAGATCATCAATTCCTCCTTCAAGAATCTGTGTTCTAATAAGATGGAAAACACCAAAGAAATGGACAGATTCCTAGATACATATGAATTATCAAAGCTGAATCAAGAAGATATAAAAATTCTAAATAAACTAGTATCAGTCAAGGAAATTGAAGATGTAATTAAAAACTTACCAAGAAAGAAAAGCCCAGGTCCTGATGGATTCACTGCTGAATTCTATATGAAATTTAGACAAAATCTCATATCACTACTCCTCAAACTCTTTAAAGAAATTGAAAGGGAATCAATACTCCAAAACCCATTCCTGGAAGCAAGCCATAACCTGATACCAAAACCAGAGAAAGATCCAACCAAAAATGAGAACATATATGCAAAAATCCTCAATAAGACACTAAAAAATAGAATACAGCCAATCATCAAGAAGAGTATACACCACGACCAAAATGAAGAAAGACAAACAGCAAATAAATGCATGAAAAAATGTTAAACATCACTGGTCATTTGAGAGATGCAAATGAAAATAATGCTGAGATTGCACCTCACTCCAGAAAGAATGGCTGCTACCAAGAAATCAACCAATAACAAATGTTGCTGGGACTATGAGGGAAAGGGAACCCTTCTCCACTGTTGGTAGGAGTACACACTGGTGCAACCACTGTACAAGTGTGGAGATCCCTTAAAAAACTAAAAACAAAGGTTCCATTTGACCCAGATATTCTCCTTCTTGGTATCTTCCTGGAAGAACTGAAAGCATCATAGCACCTCAGTATATGCACACCCATGTTTATAGCAGCACAATTTGTAATAGCTAAATCTTGGAAACAGCCCAGATGCCCATCAGTGAAATAAATTGGACACACATGTTTAAATATCACATTGTTTCTCTGCTGTGAGAAACCAAAAGGATAAATAAGGACCAAAATGTATAATAGATATTGGGAAGTGGGATGAAATGTTCAAATGGTGTCTTAGTTACTTTTCTCATTCCTGAGACAAAATACCCAACACCCAAAGTTAAAAGGGGAACGATCTAGTTAGCTCACAGTTTGTAGAGGCTTTGGTCCATAATTGGCTAGCTTCAAGGGGGGGGGATATATTAGAGAGGCAACAGTTTACAATGGATTGAAGGTAGCAAAGCAACAAGGGACCTTAACAGTGTCTTTGTACCCCTCTTATCTTATCCAGACTACTGGGATTAGGGTGGTGCAAAACCAATCAGTGGACTGATTTAGTGATCACACACCCTTAATCCCAATGCCACACACTCTAGATTCAGCAACCTCCCAAAAAGCCCTATGACTGCAGAAGAATTTGGGAGAGCACCTAGACATAAAACATAAGAAATGGGAAGGGGAACAATGGAGGGGCAAGGGGATAGGAAGGAAGGAAGGGAGGGAGAGAAAGAAAAAAATGGAAACAAAGCTTTTGTAAATAAGGAGGGGAAGAAGGGTTAGAGGGAGAGGAGGGGATTGGGAAAAAGAAGAATCAAGATGCATTATGTACAGGTACAAATTCCCTATGATGAATATGATCATTATGTATATCAAAAATATGACAATAAAATTAAATTTTAAAAATATCTGAGGAAAGCAACTTTAAGGAAGAAAGGTTTATTTTGGCTCAGTGTTTCTCAGGTTTCAGTCCCCAGTCTCCTGGCTCTGCTGCTTCTGGGCCTGTGTTGAGGCAGAAAATTATTGGTTAGAATGTGGTGGAGCAAAGCACCACTACCTCATGGGATACCACTGGCAGATAAAGAAGGAACCAGAAAGAAGGGACCAGGACAAGATATATCCTTCAAAGTGACAAGCAGTGACCTACTTCCTCCACCCA